GGGGGGGGGGGGGGGGGTCCATAAGATTGATTTAATCAATTATTTGAGGTTTCTGAGGTGCGTCCACCCCGTCACTTAACTTGCTAAAGCAAGAGCAACTCCAGCTAGCTAAGGCTAGCTTTCGTGACCTATGAAAAAAATGCATCTCCCAAACCCATCTCCTAAAGGCTGTGACAACAACATATCCATGGCATACTGGTTCATGCTGATGACCGGCCACCCAGGCAATACCCGCGAAACCCAGCCAAGTGGCCAATTAGCTTATTTGATTCTTATATATATATATATACATGCATACAATGCATATACCTGCGGGATCCAATGTATTACTTTTTTTCGTGGTTTCAACTTTTTTGGTTGTTTCATCGAAACGGCGAAACATTTTGCTTGCGAGCGTTCTTTGAATTTGGAGAGATTTACACAGAAATGATGGCGGATGATGGGTTGATTAGAGCAGGAGGCTTTGGAGGAGAGATGGATCAGGCTGTGCATCAGGAAGTGTCAGCTGTAAGGACATTAAAGTTGCAGGAAAGAATAGGTCAGGACTTGCAGGAACAATCTTCCACATCAATGTTTAAATCAATCCTGTGGTAAGCTCTGGCCACTAAAGCCATGCCCAGCAGCAGATGTTGGCCTCCTATACCTCTCAGGTGCTACTGGCATGCTTTAACAGCAGCGGTTGCAAACTTGTCGGAAGCTTTTGTTTATCCCTTTCATGTGCCGAGCCTTTTTGAAGGCTCAACCGACTCCTCATCAGTTCTCTCTTGTGACCATGGCTGACACTCTAGCGCACAAGTTGGATGATCACCTCTTCATCCGGAATCAGGTCCGGAAAGAAGGACGCATCACCAGGTGGCCTTCGGACTCGAAGTTGCTTGGAGTACCATGTTGCAAAAACTTGGTGCTCAACCACCACGCGCTGGAAGTCCTAGCCCGCTGGTGGATCCCACAGTCAGGGGGTCCAGCTGCTATTCCCATCAAGAGACTGAGAATTGAGGACTGACAGTTTTGCAACGGGCTTGTGCTTTTAAGCTTTGATGTGTTAAAGTCTGGGAGTAGCCACTGATTCTCTTCAACATGGGTTTTAAATCCCAGAGGTGCGTTTCCACCGTGAACTCACTGGCCTCGATCCACTTGGTCCTGAAGAGACGATGGACACCTGGGGACTGAAGAAGTTGTTTAGCCATGCTGTTCGGAGATGGCTGAGTGGTGCTGGCAGTCCACGTGTTTCTTTGGCTTGGTTTTGTGGGCATTGTCGGCTCTTTGTTTTTGCACCCCCCTAGGCACCTACAAGACTCTTGCTTTAGTTGATGAGGCCTCCCTAAACTCAAGCAAGGCTCCTGAACTGCGGACTTTGTGGACACTGATGGATGAAGCATGGGGTGGTGGTGGTGCTCCTCAAGCTCTGGCCTCTGATGACGAAGGTGATGATGGTGCTGACCCAGTGGAAGCCCCAGAGGATGACCTGGTGGAAGTAGTCCCAGATGACGATCCTGCTGATGAAGGCATTGAACTTCCTCCGGATGCCCTGAGAAACCTGCTTCCTGGGTTTGACAATGAGGGCAACCCGGTTGAGGATGCAAACCCTGAGCTCTCACCCACTGTTGTGCCGTCTTGGGTAGAAGATGAGGAGGTAGACTTCCAAGAGACCATGGATGGTGATGATCCTCAGGAGTCTTCTTTGAAGACCATGGATCGCGATGGTCCGCAGGAGTCTTCTTTGAATGGCCCTTTGAAG